TGGCCCAGGAGTTTCCACCAAGTCATTGTGGATGTCGCCCAAGTGAATATTTGTCCAGGTAGTTGGAGATTCTGACCAGAAATTTGGTTTGGTCCAGACTCTGTCGGGGTTGAAAAGGGTGATTTGTCGTCCGTCGATGTTTATGACCAATTTCTGGTCAAATGGTCTTGGGTCCTCTGCCGTTAGAGTGGAGAAATAACCGGGATCAATACCCTTTACGTGTTTTCTCGCTCCGTCCGTCATGTTGAATTAGTGTTTCTTGCCGCCGACCAAAATAATTCCCAGCATGCAACGCACGCTTTTGTCAACAATGAAACTCGCCTATAGATTTTGTAGCAGGTCTTTCAAAAGCTGGAGGGTCCTAGGATTTTTTTTTTGAGTAGTTTTTTTGTGGAGTAAATTAGATCAACAAATCCATTTTTACAGTTGTTCATTTCTTTCTCTCTAAAGATGTTTTCAGGCCGACAGAGAATCGTTCCGGTTCCCGCACCTAATCTTGAACTGACTTGCTTGTTCACGCCGGAAATCAGAACGTTCTGGAGCCAAAAAGTTGGATCCCAACAGGAACCAAGTAAAACGCGTTTTTTCTAAGTCAACCGTAACGACACAGAAGACGTCGGCACGTTCATCTGGGTCACACGCGATAAAATAAACAAACTAAGAGCAACTGAAACTCTGATGTATTAAAGTAAAAGTTTTACGTCTTCAAAATCTATTATGTACTGTTGGTTTTGCAAGTGTCCGTGTTCTCCTGATAAGTTTACATCTCTGTATTGGGCGTCGCTGTCGTCTTCTCCACAGCAGATTGATGTTGTGTCAGAGTTTGGCACATAAATAATGACTTGTATAAATACAAACTCTCGCTGGTGTTGATGATGTGATCCATGATTGTTATTTTCCTCCTGTGACGTCCGTTTTCATATGGCCTTGTTTTTATTTGGTGGTAAATCCACTCCCTCTGATGCGTCTTGGGTTCCTGTAAATAGTTTGAACGTGGGTCGTTCACTGTGTGGGAACCAACACCAGCACCGTTCTGACCGACCTGAAAACAGCTCAAGATTCAAAGAGAACAAGAGTTTTTATAGGAACATTTGTGACATTCGGGGGCTGACCTGTATTTAACATGATCTGCACATCTGTTAGTCAGGCTGGTGCCACCCAGTTCCTCCACTTCATTTCATTTTGCTCCAGCGACTAGATCAGGAATCAGAATACACTAGACGGTTTGCAAAAACCCCGGAAGTTGTAGACGGCGCAAAGGCCGATCATCTGTGAGCTGTGAAGTCATGACGTCAAACTGGCGTCTGTCTGTGTCCCTTTTGTGGAACAGAACAACAGTAAACAAAGCGTTGAGATGGACGTAGACGAAGACAGACATTCTGTGTTGTCAACGATTCCCCAGATCCCCGAGGATTTAAAGCTGAACAAAGAGAATGTTTGGTGAATTTTATCAAGAGGAAAGACGTTATTGTTCTTCTTCCTACAGGATTTGGAGCATTACAAATGTCACGACCAAACAGCAGCGATTGGTTAAAGGTTCATCTGATGTAAAATAACTCTTTTCACATTGTATCTTCTGCACATAAACAAGCACAGTTTGGGATTTGGAACATCCATTACACAATAGTTCTGAAATCTTACTGATTTCTTGGAGACGTCACAGACCAGAAATTATGAAAGTCCGACTATTGCTCCTCCCTCCGCCCGTCCTGAGAAAGCACAGGCTCCGCCCTCCAAACGTGACGTAGACTCTGAGTGAGCCGCCCTTCCTCCGCCATCTCAGGGAGGGAGGGGGAGACAGACGTGACCCTGACAGCGGCAGGAATAAACTTTTATTCATCATGGAGATACAGCGCGTTCAGCCGCATGTGTTGGACCTGGAATCGGACGAGGACTTTGAGGAGCACGAAGCTCAAGCACCGAGTCCACATCAGCTGAACATTACTGATTGGTAAAGTTTTAATAAACACTAGGAGATAAATTTATTATATCAAGCAGATTTCTGCTTCGTCAAACGCGTCATAGGTGAATCTGCCGCGTCATCGTTGTAGCAGCTTTAGTTCATTGTCACGTGGGAGGGTGGCAGAAATGAGCTGCAATTTGTAAAAAAAAAAACACAGAATCAGTCTAAAAACACTTCAGCGACAAATACAAGACCCACACATCACTCTGAGAAGGTAGAAAGATCTGAAAAGTTGATTTTGCATGAGATGGGCCCTTTAAATAAAAAAGTACCCGCCTACCATCGAGTGAACGAATCCTAATTCTGCGAGGTCACACGGTGCATGTTTATGTCCATGTCGTGTCAGTGTTTCCCAGTGAAGCTCTGCCCTCTGCTCTCAGTGCACAGCGCCCCCTGTCTGTGAGCTGCAGCGTCACAATGGACTGACAGACCGAGCTCCAGACCACAGTCCCAGTCCCAGTCCAGTCTGAAACTTCAGTCCAAACTCCTGTGGTCATGTTTCTCTGAGGCTTCAGCTGAAACATGGAGAGACACGTCACACTTAGTCTGCGTTCAGTCTGCAGCCTGAAGTGACCCAAATCTAATTTTTTTGTCTTCTATGTTCCTGTATCTGATCTTTTAATGTCAGTCTGAACGGCACAGATCCGATTTTTTCAAATGTGACCCAGGACACTTGGATATGTGCTCCTGAAACTGATACATATCTGATCTTTTGACATGTGACTTCAGTCTGAACGGCCAAAGTGCATTCATCCACCTACACGTTATCAACAAGACACAAACGTCACTATTCTGCGCTGAAGTCGGCAAAAATTGTTAATGAACTCTGTGTGACTGAAGTGAAGCACATCTCCACTCACCACTCTTGGCTCCGTCTTCACATCCACATGTTCCTTTCAACGGACTGAACCACAAAACACCACGACCAAAAACCTCGTCCTTCTCCTTCTCAATCTCCTCCTTAAAACAAGTCAGTTGTTCATGTTCTGGCTCCGGTACGAGAGGAACTTTAAAATCTCCAGGTGCTCGATGCTGCGTCCATGTTTGGACAACTTGTGTAAACACAGAGACGCTCGCTGCGGTTGACGTCGTCGTGTCTCCAGTGTCACATGTGGGACACTTTTGGACCGTTTAATGTTCACACTGGAGTCACATACAAGTCACATTTAACTGGAAATGTGAACGACCTCGAAAAAACATCGGATTTCACAAAAAAATCGGAATTGAGGGTTAAGCCCTGCAGTCTGAACGTAGACTTAGTCACAGTTTAGTTTCCATGTTGTTGAATCCATAGACGTGTTTGTTCATCAGCTGTTTGTTTTTCTCCAACCCGCCTCAATATTCACAGAGTCACGAGCACAAACTCTGACTAAAAGCCTGTGGGACGGAGATTATTTTGGAAATTGGACTTCTGTCAAGGATTTATTTCAGCGTTTTGACGGTTACATGCTTGAAAAACATGGATTCTGAAAGTGAGTTTTTTGGCTCTGTTTTTGTGTGTGTGTGTGTTTTTGTGTGTGTGTGTGTGTGTTTTTGTGTGTGTGTGTGTTTTTGTGTGTGTGTGTTTTTGTTGTGTGTGTTTGTGTGTGTGTGTGTGTGTGTGTGTGTGTGTGTGTTGAGGCTAAATGTGCCCAGAGAGCATCTTCTCCTTCAGAACTGGGACAAGAGCCAGACTGTCACTATTCAAACGGCTCATCTGCACATTTTTAAAGGAACTGAACGTATCCTGCCTCTTTCTGTTCCAAAAAAAAAAAAAAAAACTGTTATAATCAGAACTGACCCTGTGCCTCCAGAACCTTCACCTGCAAGTGTGTCTCAGTCTCACTTTATGTTCAGGCTCATGTGAAGCTCAGAACCTCCAGAATTCCCTCCCTGAGCTGCAAAAGCTGCACTAGCACAGACACAGGACTGGTGCAGGAGCTGGGGTTCAGATAGAGACGGTTCAGATCAGAGACAAACAGCTGGATTTCTTTATTGAGAGAGAGAGTGAGTCACGTGAGACTCAAAAAAAAAAAGAAAAAAAAGAAAATGCAAACATAAACAACATCAGGATCAGTAAAAGCTCCATTTGATATGAGCGTGTTTACCTCATGTCTGCAAACACAGATACGTCATGTTTACGGAATTTAAAATGTGACACACAGCCCCTTTAAACAGACTTTTATTTGGCAAATTTGGCTTTAGAACAGTTTTTGTTTGAAGGGAAAGTGAAGCAGGGCAGAATATCAAAGCCCACAGTTAAGTCCACATTTAAGCTTTTACTTGAAGGTTATTTTATTTGTTTTGTTACGGTACAATATTTATGAGTTTTGGCTGGAGGGAGGACGACGAGTCACAAAGACTCACAAAGTGCAGTTTGGCTGATTCCACAGATATAAGAGAAATAGACTGAATATGACACTGTTTAGTTTATTATTGTCTTTTTCTTTCATTCATTCTGAGGATGGGGGGAGTGTAGGGGAGGGTGTGTGTGTGTGTGTGTGTGGGGGGGGGGGGGGGGGGGTGTTCTGTTCTGTTCTGTCTGTTAAAAAGAGCGCGCGTCATTCGGACGCAGCTCTGCGTGAGTTTAAAGGCGCTTCATTAATCAGCTGAATTTATAGATTCACGCGCGTCACGTGTGGATCTGTCTCCGGCCGCAGCAGAGTGTCCTCTGTCCGGCCTCTGTCCGGCCTCTGTCCGGCCTCTGTCCGGCCTCTGTCCGGCCTCTGTCCGGCCGCTGGGCACGAGCACCGCGGGTGTTCGCGTAAAGGTCAGGAGCTGTCCAAGTGCCTTTTGTCCAAGTGCCATTTGCGCTCCGAGCGCGTGCCATCTCCCCGTGCCCATGAGGCGCACGTGTAACCCTCAGGCTAGAAAATATGTGCGTGAAAGAATTTAGTTTAGATCAAACACGGTACGTGTGGCACGTTTCAATTCACCCGCGCGTAAAGACTTGTGCCATTACCGCACCACGAGCCGTGCGTAAAAGCGCACGGAGTCCTGAATAAGAGTGAACACAATAAAGAGAAGTGCGTTTGGAGAAATGTTTAAAGTATCTGACCTGTCGATGCTGATTACGCACAGCGTCATGATGGACGCGGTGCAGCACATCACGTCCATGGCGATGAAGACGTTACAGAAGAACTGTCCGAACACCCACTGTCCTCCGATCAGGTCCGTGATGGACACGAAGGGCATGACCGCGAGCGCCACGGAGAGGTCGGCCAGAGCCAGAGACACGATCAGGTAGTTGGAGGGCTGGCGCAGCTTCTTCACGAAGCACACGGAGATGACCACGAGCAGGTTCCCGCAGATGGTGGACAGCGTGAGCATCATGAGCACTCCCCCGATCAGGACCTTCTCCACGCGGCCGTAGCTCAGGATCTGCTCTCCACAGCGCGTGCCGTTGCTCTCCATGACGAGCGGCGGACTGTACGTGGCCGGAGCGGTGGCCGCGGCCGCCGCTTCCGCCGCGTCCTGCGCGATCTTCAGCAGCCGCGGCGCGAGCACCTCCGAGATGATCCTGTTGGAGCCCGCGTGGTCCCCGCCGCCCGCGCGCTCCTCGATCATAAACGACCTCATGTTTCCGCCACCGAACGTTCCGTTACGCGCTCCCAGGACGACCATTGTGCCGCGCGCGGAGCCTTTTTATCCATGTGCACAGACGCGCAGATGTGCCGCGGGAGGTGCGATGGCGCAGTGCGCGGCGCACAGACGCGCAGATGTGCGGCTCGAGGTGTGACTGACTCAGGACCACCGTGACCCGCTGACACGCGCTGTGGATCAGAGGCTCGCGCGCTCCATCCCGCTATTTACTGGTCTCCGTCATGACGCGCGTGATGCCGCGGGCGCGTTCTCCAAACTCGCGACCTGAATAATAGTTGTGATTGTGTTTGGCACGAGCCGTCTGTCAGCTCCACGTGCACACACAAAGAGAGGCTGGAGCGCGCGCATTTATACCCCAAAAGTTACGCATGACGTAAAAGTCCAGTTTGGAAGAAGCCAATGAGAAGCGCGAGCGGAGAGGCGCGTGCAGCACCGGGCTGTGGGACAGCTCCTCTCTGTGCGCGTGCACAGACGGAGCGCGCGCACGTGTAGGCCTGTCATATTATCCTCTCTGTGCGCGCGCATGTGACTCTCGCGCTTTAAACAAGGAACGCGCCCCTGGTTGCACTTTTCTTGTGTGATGAGTTTAGAGCAGCAGCGCCACCGCGCGGCCGCTCCGCGTCAGTGCAGCGGGTTTTGTCTTCAGAAAATGTCCAGGGTTTTTCAAAAAGCACAATTTATAAACCTGCATCACACTAAGTATAAATGTAAAAAAAAATACTGATACAGATACAGAGTCCTGCTGTAATACAGAATCAAACTAATCTCCTACAGGAACATTTAAACATTTAAATAAAACCCGCAGGTTCGAGGTGGAGCCACAAACACCAGAGTTTTGTACAAAGACGCTGATAAGACGCGCGCGCTCTGTGTGTTTAGTCCACACCTTTTTACAAACAACAAACCTGAAGTGATAAAACCACAGCTTTATTTTAAAGAAAACAGCAGAGGAAATGTCTCTAATATTCTCTGATGTAAAATGTGTTAAATATGATTTGAATATTCGGTGTAAATCTACAGTTGTTTTCATTTTAAAACCACATTTAGTCGTTCTGTCTGTTCTTTTATTTTGAAGTCCACTGTGTCCCTTCTGTTCACCTGTTTCTCTTTCACTGGGAGGAGGAAATCCTGCTGCTGATCCGCTCCACAGACCCCCCCCCCTCCCCGTGGACACGCTGTGTAAATACTGTGTTGCCATGTTCGCTCAAATCCTCCTTTTCCCTCACTTCCTTTCTCCCGCTGCTGCCTCGCGCTGGTTTCCGGTGTCCACAGACCGGACCTGGCAACCCGGCGGCGCAGGTGTGGACGCTCCGTGACTCGGAGGATGACAAAACACGTTTGAGATTGTGAATTTTTTTATTGGATTGGAGAGTTTTACGCGCGTGTTGGTGGTGAATGGCACGTTCGGACGCACGGCACGTCCCGGGGAGTGAATCATCGCCTTCCTCGGTGCTCGGGATGATGATGATGATGATGCTGATGCTGTCAACGCCGCTGCTCCTTTAACGCGTCACGGACAGAGCACCGCGTACCCGAGCCTCCTCCCGCCTCACGCCTCACGCCGCCGCCGCCGCCGTCGTGTTTCTCCGTCGGGCTCGAGTCATGGAGGAGATTCTACGGAAGCTGCAGAAGGAGGCGTCCGGACACAAGCACAAAGCGCTGCGGGACGCGTGCGTGTGCGCCTGCGGTGAGTGCGGGAGGGAGGCGCAGGGCCACAGACAGGGACAGGAGCAGAGACAGGAGCAGAGACAGGAGCAGAGACAGGAGCAGAGAGACAGGGCAGAGACAGGAGGAGAGCAGAGACAGGGACAGGGCAGGGGCAGAGACAGGAGGGGCAGGGGGGGGGGGGGGTTAGGGTCTCGGGAAGGACAGGTGGATGCAAAAATATTGACATGAACCTAAACAGCATTTTCAAATCCGTTTTAGTCTCATTTGGTCCTAATCCGGGACATTTAGTCCTGATGTAAACCTGGTTTAGTTCTTGTCTTGTCCTTTTGGTTTAGTCCTGGTATAATCTTGGTTTAGTCCTGGTATAATCCTGGTTCTAGTCCTGGTCTAGTCCTGGTTTAGACCTGGTTTAGTCCTGGTTTAGTCCTGGCTTAGTCCTGGCTTAGACCTAGTTTAGTCCTGGTTTAGTCCTGCCTTAGTCCTGGCTTAGACCTGGTTTAGTCCTGGTTTAGACCTGGTGTAGTTCTTGTATAGTCTTGGTCTAGTGTGTGTTAAGTCCTGGTCTAGACCTGGTTTAGGCATGGTTTAGATCTTGTTGAGTACAGGTTTAGTCCTGGTCTAGTCCTGGTTTATTGTTTGGTCCTGTTGTCCTGGTTTGAACCTCGTCATCTGTTACTCGTCTCGTGTTGATCTGGTCTGGGTTTAGTTCCGTAGTCTTGGTTTAGATCTGGTTTTGTCCTGGTTTAGTTGTACTTTAGAACTGGTTTAATCCTGGTTTAGACCTGGTTTAGACCTGGTGTAGACCTGGTTTAGTCCAGGTGTAGTTCTGGTGACGTTTGGAAAAGGTGCATGTGTTTTGCATATTTTTACTCATATCTTAGATGTGGTTTAGTCCTGGTCTAGTCCTGGTCTAGTCTTGTGTGGTCCTAGTCTAGTCCTGGTGTGATCCTGGTTTAGTCCTGGTGCAGCCTTGGTCTTGTCTTGGTCTAGTCTTGGTCTTGTCTTGGTCTAATCCTTGTCTAGTCCTGGTGAGGTCCTGGTCTTGTCTTGGGACAGTCTTGGTCTTATCTTGGTCTAGCCCCGGTCTAGCCCCGGTCTAGTCCTGCTCTAGTCCTGGCCTAGTCCTGGTCTAGTCTTGGTGTAGTCATGGTTTATTCCCGGTCTAGTCCCGGTCTAGTCCTGGCCTAGTCCCGGTCTAGTCCTGGCCTAGTCCTGGTGTAGTCCTGGCTTGGTCCAGGTGTAGTCATGGTTGAGTCCTGGTTTATTCCTGGTCTAGTCCTGGTCTAGTCCTGGTCTAGTCCTGGGTTAGTCCTGGTCTAGTCCCGGTCTAGTCCCGGTCTAGTCCTGGTCTAGTCCCGGTCTAGTCCCTGTCTAGTCCCTGTCTAGTCCTCGCCTAGTCCTGGCCTAGTCCTGCTCTTGTCCTGGCCTAGTCCTGGTCTAGTCTTGGTGTAGTCCTGGCTTGGTCCAGGTGTAGTCATGGTTGAGTCCTGGTTTATTCCTGGTTTATTCCTGGTTTATTCCTGGTCTAGTCCTGGGTTAGTCCTGGGTTAGTCCTGGGTTAGTCCCGGTTCAGTCCCGGTCCAGTCCCGGTCCAGTCCCGGTCCAGTCCCGGTCCAGTCCCGGTCTAGTCCTGGTGTAGTCCCGTTCTAGTCCTGGTCCAGTCCCGGTCTAGTCCTGGTCTTTTGCATGTTGAACAGACATGATGAGGCCCAGACTTTAATCTAATATTTTTTAATCACATAAAACTCATGAACAAAAATCAATCATCCATAAAATCAATAATCATGAGATAATAACATTATATTTTCATTTATATTCTTCTGCAAAATCGTCTTTTTGGAGCTTTTTGTCGGGTTAAAACATTATTCCCTCATCACAGACCTGCCTGGAGACGATTTAGTCATCCATGCAAGTTTGAGTCATCTAGTGATCTCTCCTGGGCCCTTTTCAAAACCTCTTTACAGTACAAGTGTGTAAAAATATCAAAATATTCAGATAAATACAACATAAACAACAGAACAGAGCAAGTTTGCCAAGGTTCATCTGGTCGTCCGATAATTTATGTTGTTAGGTTCTTTTTTCAGACCAAGAGTTTGTTTTCATACCGACAGTTTCGACTACGGAAGCCGAGAGGGTCACAACAAACGCAAACGCCGCATCAAATACAAATGCGACAACACAACAAAAAAGCCACAACAAACCAAAAAAAGCCACAATGGAACTGACCGCGGGACTCTATTTTAATGCAACGCCACAACACAAATTCAAATGCCGCAACACATCAAAAAGCCACAACACACACAAAAAAAAGCCACAACACACACCAAAAAAGCCACAACACACACCAAAAAAGCCACAACAGAAATGACTGCAGGACTCTATTTTAATGCAAACGCCGCAACAAATACAAACGCCACAACACAATCGCAAATGCCACAACACATTAAAAAGCCACAACACATCAGAAAACCACAATGGAAGTGACAACAGGACTCTGTTTTCCGGCGGACCGATCAAGCGACAAGTGAAGAAGAAGAACTACAACGTGAAACGAATAATGATAAAACAATAAAAACATTAAATTACTTCTACTTAAGTTTCCAACTTCTCAGTTCCTTTACTTTTCACGTTGTAGTTCTTCTTCTTCACTTGCCGCTTGATCGGTCCGTTGGAAAATAGAGTCCCACGGTCACTTCTGTTGTGGCTTTTTAATGTGTTGTGGCTTTTTAATGTGTTGTGGCATTTGCGTTTGTGTTGTGTTTGTATTTGTTGCGCCGTTTGCATTAAAATAGAGTCCCGCGGTCATTTCCGTTGTGGCTTTTTTGGTGTGTTTTGGCTTTTTTTGGGTGTGTTGTGGCTTTTTTTTGGCATGTTGTGGCTTTTTTATTGGCGTGTTGTGGCTTTTTTGGGGGGGTGTTGTTGTGGCTTTTTTTTGGGTGTGTTGTGGCTTTTTTTGGGGGGTGTTGTAGCTTTTTTGCTGTGTTGTGGCTTTTTTTTGTTGTGTTGTGGCTTTTTTGTTGTTGTGTTGTGGCATTTGTATTCCTTGTGTCGTTTGTGTTTGTCGTGACCGCTCTCGGGTTCCGTATTCGACCGCTCACCGGCACAAATCAGAACAGGAACAACTTAAACCGTTCGTCTCTGACCCGTGTAAAAGACAAAACCACCTTCTGGCCCCGGACGGAACAAACGCAGGAAAACAAACATCGCAGCTGGATTAAAGACGCAATCGAAATACAGAAACGTTATTTAAAGGTGTTTATGTGAAGCTGAGACGAGGGCTGTGCAAAAATACTGAAATATCCATATATCGTATCGTCTAATGTGATGATTCAGTATCGATATCGTGGGCTGTTGTTTCGATATATTGCCAAGAGTATTTTTTGGTTTATTTTACTGAATTATTTTATTACAGCTTCAGTTTTGTTGTTTGTTCTGAGGAAGGAAACTCGTTTATGCGACACATTTGACATTTTCACTGTTTTGATGATTAAAATGTTTGTGTTTCATATGAACTTTGCACAAGAAGAAGTGATTTAACAAAGACTTTTAGTATCACAGATATGATTTAGATTTTTTATTGAACAGTATCGAATCGATTCGAAATGTATCGTATTAAATCGAAAGTGCACTGTATCGAGGTACGTATCGTATCGCGGCCTAAGTATCGAGGTACGTATCGTATCGCGGCCTACGTATCGTATCGCGGCCTACGCATCGAGGTACGTATCGTATCGCGGCCTACATATCGTATCGCGGCCTACGTATCGAGGTATGTATCGTATCGTGGCCTACGTATCGAGGTACGTATCGTATCGTGGCCTACGTATCGAGGTACGTACCGTATCGCGGCCTACGTATCGAGGTGTGTATTGTATCGTGGCCTACGTATCGTATCGTGGCCTTCGTATCGAGGTACATATCGTATCGAGGTACGTACCGTATCGTGGCCTACATATCGTATCGCGGCCTACGTATCGAGGTATGTATCGTATCGCGGCCTACATATCGTATCGCGGCCTACGTATCGAGGTACGTACCGTATCGCGGCCTACGTATCGAGGTGTGTATTGTATCGTGGCCTACGTATCGTATCGTGGCCTTCGTATCGAGGTACATATCGTATCGAGGTACGTACCGTATCGTGGCCTACGTATCGTATCGTGGCCTTCGTATCGAGGTACATATCGTATCGAGGTACGTACCGTATCGTGGCCTACGTATCGTATCGTGGCCTTCGTATCGAGGTACATATCGTATCGAGGTACGTACCGTATCGTGGCCTACGTATCGTATCGTGGCCTTCGTATCGAGGTACATATCGTATCGTGGCCTACGTATTTATTTATTTATTTTATTTATTTATTTATTTATTTGAGACAGGGACAGCACACAATTTTCGCATTAACCTTGACAGGAGAGATGCATTGTACATCAGGTTGTAGCATCAGTGCTAATTTCCACCTGTCGTCCCTGGACAGGTTCATTGGTTGATTGTATTTAACTGACCTTGACTATCAACTGTTCTGGAGACCTGTAGCATGTTTTGGGTTGATGGGGGAAACCGGAGCACCCGGAGGAAACTCATCCAGACACAGGGAGAAACATGCAAACTCCACACAGAAAGGCCCTGGGCGACCTGGGGATCAAACCCAGAACCTTCTTGCTGTGAGGCATGAGTGCTAGTCACTCAGCCACCATGCCGCCGTATCGAGGTACGTACCGTATCGTGGCCTACATATCGAGGTACGTACCGTATCGTGGCCTACATATCGAGGTACGTACCGTATCGTGGCCTACATATCGAGGTACGTATCGTATCGCGGCCTACGTATCGAGGTGTGTATCGTATCGTGGCCTTCGTATCGAGGTACGTATCGTATCGTGGCCTACGTATCGAGGTACGTACCGTATCGCGGCCTACGTATCGAGGTACGTATCGTATCGCGGCCTACGTATCGAGGTACGTATCGTATCGCGGCCTACGTATCGAGGTGTGTATCGTATCGTGGCCTACGTATCGAGGTACGTATCGTATCGCGGCCTACGTATCGAGGTGCGTATCGTATCGCGGCCTACGTATCGAGGTGCGTATCGTATCGCGGCCTACGTATCGAGGTGTGTATCGTATCGCGGCCTACGTATCGAGGTGTGTATCGTATCGGCAACTTGTTAATTAAACCAGCCCGAACTAAAACATTTTTTCTGTCCGTCCTTGTTTTAGTTTCCACGGTGTTTAAAGTTTTGATGGAGCTGAAGATTATTGAGAAGAAATATTGACACGTGAGCGAAGAAAACCAGGGGAGCTTCATAGTAACTGTGATGTTCTGACACATTTTAAGATTTAAATAGATAAAATAATAATAATAATAATGTTAGGATTTATTACCATGAAAACAGAGATTATCGTCGGTCGGTTTCTTCACGTTTACTGTTTTACTCACTTCGTTTCAGACAGAGGAGTATTTTTAGATGAACAGAGTCTCGGAGTCGTTTTGTTGTTTCCGTCGTCGTGGCGCAGTGACTCAGACGACGCCACGTGTGTCTCTTCTGCTTCTCCTTTCTCAGGCTCCTCCTCCCTCCATCCTCCTCTTCCTCTCTCTGTCCTGCTCCTCCCTGGCTGGTTTAGTCCTGGTTTAGTCCTGGTTTAGTCCTGGTTTAGTCCTGGTGTTAGTTCAGATTTAGAGGCGCACAGGAGGAATCGTGGTCTACACAATAAAAAAAAAAAAGGGGGATATAGCCCAAAATGTGAAACCAGGAAAATCCCTCTGTGTAATCCATTTATTTCAACCAAGTAACTGTAATCCAATTACCACTCACTGAAACGGTAACTGTAACTGAATACAGTTACTCATAATTTGTACTCTGATTACACAACTCTGGTACATGTAATCTGTTACTCCCAAACACTGGTCACACTCGGCTGATCCTGATCCGGTGATTCCAGGAGGTGATTGGGAGTGAAAAGTGGAGCTGGAGTCGACCTGCTCCTGAAACGTGATCGAGGTCTCGAGGTCGCGGTCGCGGTCGAGGTCGCGGTGGAGGTGTGATCTGACCCTCCATGAGCACACACTGTTCTGCTGATACGACTGAGAAGGGCAGGGACCTGAATAAATACGACTCGAGAGGCCAAGTCAGTCAAATTCTACACTGTGTGGGTCCAGAAAGAATTCACCCTGGGAGCGCGTTGAAGTTTTTGGGAATTTTTTGGGACGTTCACAGCATCAGCGTGTATAAAAGTGTAAATCCGTGTGCAGGATCTGTGCATATTTTTTGTGTCGACAGCTTGGTCTAAATAACTTGACTCAATAATTAAATGTTAAAAAAAAAAATTTAAAAAATGCACCACACATGCAGCCTGCACACACCTGACCCTCTACCCTTAATGTAAAAATGTGTTTTTGTTTTACAGAAACTCTGGAGCTGCAGAATGGAACAGGCAAAGTCCCGCCCTCCAAACTACGGTAAGACAACAGAGACAATTTACTACAGAAAGAACTTTATTACAAAATGCAGCTCTGAAGTATTTGGGCCCAGTCCAGCAGAAGTAAACAACAAGGCCAAAAATTCAAGTTAATTCATCTGATATAAAAATGTATTGAACAGATACATATGTACTCTAGTTTATCAAACTGTTGACCTTTTTTCTGTACCATTTTTGGTTCTAAAGTTCCATATGTTTTAAACAGACCATGTATGAAACATGGAACAAAAATTATTTCCCAAATTTCAAAGACAAAATCATGTAAATAAATGTTTGTATTTCATCATATCTTGTGTTATTCCATCTTTGAACTGTTGATGAAGGGACAGGATTTTGAAAAAAAATATATATTTTAAAATGATAAAAATGTTCTTGGAAGGACTGACATATTTTATAGAACTTAGTTTTCTTTCATTATGAAGTAATATTAAAATATTCAGAAGAAAAAAGTGACAAATGATGTAAAATCCTGCACCTTCTACTTGTTTGTAAAATTTTCCCTCCGTTACTTTTCCCTCCGTTACCATGACCTTTCTTAATAAAAAATCTCATGAGTCAAAAAGTCAGAGGTTTTTCAACCTAATCTTGTACCATATGGTAGAAAACTATATGAAGCAAATATTCAAACCAGTTTGTTAAGGATATGTAAGTGAGAACCAAGAGTTATCACTGTTTGGATTTATTGCCCAAAAAGTGCTGCATATTTCATTCCCTCCGTTACCGACATGAGTTTTTAAATTTTTTGTCAACAACTTGAAAGAATCTCACAGGTTTAACTTGACCCTGTTGGAGTGTAACTCTTTCCTACATTCTGATACTTTAGAGGGATTATTTCAATAAGTAGTTTCTGAATAAGAGACATTTGAATGTCAAAAATCTGCCCTGTTTCTCTCCGTTACCACTTGACTGGAGCCAAAAGTAAAGTAAGTGATCCCTCGTGCGCTGCGGCAGCTGCTTCGCGGAATTTTTTACAGTGCTTTATTTTTTACAGTGAATCCTGATTGGCTTAGGGGCGTTACTGTTGTCTAGAAGTGAAAAAGGTTTATATTGGTTTTTCATTACACCCATGCAACAGTTTTCGTTTCTGTACATTCTGCCAAATTGACGTTCGCAATTTTTCTCCGTGACAAAACCCACAATGTCAAAGAAACGTTCTGTGCCGACAAAGAGGCCTCCAGACGCGCCAAAGAGGCCGCGGAAGATGCCAACTTTGCAGAAAAAGTTAAACTTCTGGACATGCTGAAGGAAGGTAAAAGCTATGCGGCTGTAGGGCGCCATTACGGAATAAATGAATCTTCGGTTCGTT